AATACATATTCCTTAATTCAATAGTCATCACATAGTACATATGACATGTACAAATATAGGCGAAGAAAATAAATCGCAGAACATCTCCAACTCTCCACTCTATCCCAACAACAACAAGGAAGGCTAAGTAGAGAAATAGAACTGATTAGGCTCAAGTTGCAAGAATCATATAAAATCCCAAAGAGGCAAAGAGAGCAAAGGGCCATAAATGAAATAGAGAGGAATCCAAAGCACCTTTTCTCTCTTATGCAAAATCTTGAACAAAAACTACATCCAGCATTGGGCCCTTGCACAAGGGTGATGGAACTTTCACAAATAACAACAAAGAAATGAGTGAAATACTGAGGCTGCAGTACGATTCTGTTTTCAGTGAAACCCCTGAACACATTCAAGATTAATGATCTAAACAAATTCTTTATGAATGTGAGCCCAACATCAAAGCATATATCAGATGTCACTCTTAACTCTATTGGGCTTTGAAGAAGTAATATACAGCATGCCCATGCTCTGTACCAGGCCTATATTGGAATTCTATATTCATCAGCCGGTCGGCCGAGCGGACAGCACGCTGGACTTGTGATCCTGTGGTCCTGGGTTCGATCCCAAGCGCTGGCGAGAAACAATGAGCAGAGTTTCTTTCACCCTATGCTCCTGTTACCTAGCAGTAAAATAGGTACCTGGGTGTTAGTCAGCTGTCACGGGCTGCTTCCTGGGGGTGGAGGCCTGGTCGAGGACCGGGCCGCGGGGACACTGAAAAGCCCCGAAATCATCTCAAGATAACCTCAAGAAAGGAGGTACTAAAGCGGATGCAAAAAGTTATAGACCAATAACCCTAATTTCACACGTCATAAAAATCTTTGAGTGCTAAGAAGTAAGAATACAAATCACATGGAATCACAATTATGTCTGAGGATATAACCTCGGACAATATGGGTTCACGACAGGGTGCTCCTGCCTCTCACAATTGCTAGATCACTATGACATGACCTCAGGTTCCATGGGAGACAAACAAAATGCAGACATAATATACACAGACTTTGCAAAACCTTTAGACAAATGTGATCATGATGTTATCCCATGCAAGATGCACTCAAAAGGAATTACTGGCAAAGTAGGGAGATGAGTCTTTAACTTTCTAGTGAATGGAATCCAGAGTGTAATAGCCAACACAGTAAAATCTGGATCTTGCACTGTGAAAAAACTCAGTCCCTCAAGGTACCATACTTGCTTTGGTACTTTTTCTCATTCTCATATCAGCAGAGAACTGAAGCTCCCAACCATACTAGAGAGAATCATGCATGTCAACACGACCCTTTGCCTTAAAGTCATGAGAGACCCTACGTCTCCTGCTTTGCTCGGAGACAAATTATTAAGTGCTGTTAATACCCTATTGACTGGTGCCGACATAGCAACTCAGTCCTTTTATGATAAATGACTGAGCAAAAATGCCTACAATCTCATTAAACTCAACATTCCTTTTAAGTGCAGTCTACCTGTCTCTGATATTCCTCTTTATCTGTACCCCCACCATTCAAGTATCATACACACCTGTCACCAAGAAAGGTAATGAGAATCTTGCTCTTCTCAAAGCTGTCACACTTAAAACAATTGCCTCCTCCATCGAGAATTTAAGATCTCACGAGCACTGTGTTTACACCGATGGCTCAGTTCAATCTTCCACTGGACGGACTGCAGCAGCATGTAGGTTTTACAGAAATAATATTTGCACAAAGACTGTCAGTGTCAGGTTAAACAAATGGCTGACCTCCACACAAGCAGAACTAGCAGCATTACAACTAGCTACCAGTACATTAAAAAACATTGGAGGAGGAATAATATTTTGTGATTCAAAGTCTGCTGTTCAAGCAATCGAAAACTTCTCCTGGAAGATCAACAGCAAGAACCTCATACTACCAATTATATATGAACTAATCGCTGCACAGAGGAAAGGGTCTCTAATCTCCTTTGTATGGATACCATCACACATAAATATAACCCATCATAATGAGACAGACATTGCAGCCAAATTAGCATGTAACAAAGATGAAATTGAATTAGATCTAGGTAGCCCCATCTCTTCTATCAAAACTGTATTGATCCAAACACCCAGGTCAGATAGGAAAGAAATTACTGACTCCCAACGACCTGAAAGCACTAGTATAAAAAGCTATGATTTGTTCAGATCTGAAACCTCTATCTATGGGCATCACAAAACGTCCACCAGACTGTGTGACACAGTGGTTGCCAGGATCAGGTTGGGTTACCGTTACCTGTGGCAGGTGGCTACAGGTGACGGGTCTCCCAATCCTGAGGCACTCCAGTTGCAAACTCTGTGAGCAGGAGCTGCAGCATGATCTCCCACACTACATCACTGAATGCCCAGTTATTAGACCTTTCAGACCAGCTGGCATGAGGTACCTGGAGCTTTGCAATTACTTTATTCACTCTCGTGTTCTTGAAGATATCCTTATAGTGTACCCAAAATTTGCCAGTGCAGGCTACTGAATATATGGCCCTGTATGACTAACCATCCTGCGAGATGGGGACTTCTAGTATCACTGCTACCTTATTCACTCTTATGTTAATGATATCCTCATAATGCACGCAGAGTCTGCCAGTGCAGACCACTTATCACATGCCTCTGTATGACTAACCATCCTGTGTAATGGGGATTTTTTAGCATCACGTAGATAGCTTTTTGACACTATTCGCCTTCATATAGTCTAGGGTAGCTGCACAAATGCAGATGTACCTAATGTATTAATAAAATAAAATCCTCATATCAGACACAGACAAGGATACTAACTATGTACTGAATAGTATTGTATCATCCTTAGCATATGACACTATGACTTTCATGAAATGTAATAGAGAATATAGAGGACATATCAAACCTCCAATCTCATGTTAATTGGGTTTTTCAATGGGCCACAATAAGATGATTAATGAAGACAAGTTCCAGCTCCTGCACTATGGAAAAAACGAAAATATCGAAATGGAAAGCATATATAAAAGGCAGTCAAATCACACAATACAATGAGGAAGCAATGTGAAGGATCTAGGAGTAATTATGTCGGAAGACCTTACCTTTAAAGAACACAATAAAGTAGTCACAACTGCAAGAAAAATGACAGGTTTGATAACAATGACCTTCCAAACAAGGGGTGCCATACCAATTATGATACATTTCAAGGCACTAGTGCTCTCTAGGGTAGAATATTGTTGCACAATTACAGCCCCATTCAGAGCTGGAGAAATTGGTTTCCTGGAGAGTGTGAAGAGATCCTTTACTGCCAGAATCTACTCTATAAAACATCTAAATTATTGAGACCCATTCAGAATTTTAAATCTGTATGCTCCAAAACACAAGCAAGATAGAGATACATAATAATTTACACCTGGAAAATATTAGAGGGACTGGTTCCAAATCAGTACATAGAAATATCATCACATGAGACCTGTAGGCGTGGCAAGATGTGCTAAATAGTCCCATTGAAAAGAAGAGATGCAGTAGGTACTCTGAGAGAGAACTCTATCAACATCTGAGTGTCAAGACTTTTCAACACACTTCCTTTACACATAAGGGACATAACTGGCCGACCTCTCAAGGTGTTTAAGAGAGAAATCGATAAACATCTCCAAAGGATACCTGATCAACCAGGTTGTGATTCATACATCAGGCTGCAAGCAGCCACATCGAACATCATGGTTGGCCGGACCACCAACCATAGGGACTTGGTCAGAAATTGGGCCATAGAGACATTGATCCTTGGAATCGCCACAAGATAAATAGGTAGTTGCAACCTTGGGTGGGGACTTCGATACAAGTTTAAAGTACTGTATTTATATATTTTCACAGTCCCCAGCAAAACAAACTGGGTATTTCTGTAAAATTATAATCATTCAGGTTATATATACGTACAGTACTATAATATTACGACTGCTATCACAGATTGTTAAATTTAATTTATTATCAGTGTTATTCTTATTATGTTTTAATATTTTAATTAATGTCAAAGTAATTAATTTATAAAACAAATTAATAATTATTATAAACTAAAATTAATTGTACTATATTATTATAACTATTGTTATAGTGTTTATACATTAGTGTTTAGTTTACTGCAGTTAATTAATTTTTTTTTTGTAAACTGCAAACTCTCATAATGAAACTTTGAAAATTAAAAGAATTTTTGTTTTAAATTTCAGCAACATCACGAATTGTTACTGCATTATTGATATCGCATCTTCTCTTGTTTTGACCATAAACTTGCCTCAAAACACTATAAATAATTAGTGGTTTTATAAAGACAAAAATGTAAAATGCACCCAAACTTTGTAACATAATGCAGGCGATGAGTCACAATAACGTGGCTGAAGTATGTTGACCAATCCACACACTAGAAAATGAAGGGACGACGACGTTTTGGTCCGTTCTGGACCATTCTCAAGTCGATTGAGAATGGTCCAGGATGGACCGAAACGTCGTCATCACTTCATTTTCTTTTGTAACATAATCTCTGTATGTTTATTAATTTAGTTTGAGAATTTGTTGATTACCTTAATCTGTTTAGGTTTCATTGCTAATATGGTCTACAGGAAAATTATCACAAAATCTTTGTGTTTCCTTTCCTTGTAGATGAGAAATAATATGCTATGTGGTTCTTTGTATAGTAGTGTATTCAGTTATCTTGAGATCTTGAGGTTATCTTGAGATGATTTCGGGACTTTAGTGTCCCCGCGGCCCGGTCCTCGACCAGGCCACCACCCCCAGAAAGCAGCCCGTGACAGCTGATTAACTGCTAGGTAACAGGGGCATAGGGTGAAAGAAACTCTGCTCATTGTTTCTCGCCGGCGCCCGGGATCGAACCCGGCACCACAAGTCGAGCGTGCTGTCCGCTTGGCCGATCGACTCCCATGCCGGAGGTCGGCAACCTACAGCTGTCTTAGAGGCTGCTAGATATACGTATAGGCTCTAACAGTAAGCACTCTCTCCGCAGACTACTTCAAGATGTTACAGGCTCAACTCCAGGACTCTGTGATGCTTGCATTGCTAAGAAAAAGATGGTGGTGACATGGGGCCAGAGCATCCACTTGGGCTGTGCCGTTAAACTTCCCCGTCCCATCTCTTTAAAAGATATCACCTGGCACCACTACTCAAAGGATAAGGGCAAATACCAGATTAGATATAGGTGAGTAATTGAAAGGTTACTGATATATTTTCTGTACGTCATAAAATTTACATCGTCTGGAGATAATTCTGCCATAATTTTGTGTCACTTTTTGTCAAAATTAGAATGTATGCCGACACATTCAAAATTTGTCTTAATTTGTGCATATTCCCAACAATCTCAAGACTTTCATGCTCTTGATAATTTTACATTCTAAGCAATATATTGTTCTCAACACTTTATCCTAAACATTGTAAGGTTCTTATTACTGTACTTTAATGTTCTCAATAGTTTCATATTCTCAGTCTTGTTTCCAACACTTGGTGATTGAGGGCAGATCATTTGTTAATGATATTGTTTGTAAGTGAGGAAAGTAACTATCATTTCTTGTGTTGAAATATTCAAATGTACGATGTTTTACCTAAGTGACAAGTATTGGAGGATAAATATCAATACTGTTCTTAAAAGTTAGATATTGACATAACTAATGTCATTATGCAGTATTGGTACGGAATAATTTCAGGAAGAGGGGATTTTTAATATAAAAGCATTATTCAATATCTTCAGTAGTGGTCAGACAATTACGTATTGACACTGATTTAGCAGTGAGTCTGAAAATCTCGCAGGGACCTCGCTATGTCCCAGTTAATGATATAATTTGATTCTGGTAAACGTAATATGAATGCAAATAATAGCAGATGTTTAACATGACGTAGCACAGGTTCCGTATGGTAATAATCACTTGGTCAAGAGAGTAGAATTTTGTGCACATCTGACTGATTCAGGAACCCAGCTAAGAATGTCAGATTTTCTTACTGCAGTGCCATGCCTGGCTCTGCAGTCTCAATAGTCTACCTATGAATCAGCCAAATGGGAAACAGCATTTTCCCCAGGCATGCCTTCAGATAGGCTTCTATGATGTGACATCACCAAGAGTCACTGGCTTTGGTCACTGAGAGGTCATGCCCTCAGTTTCAGCTTCTCTCTTGAAATACCTCACCTTGAATTAAAACATCAACCCCCCCCTGCATGTCTTGTCCTAATTAAACTACCCAACATCACATGTTGGCCATTATGTGATATCTGAACCCTGGACGATAACAGCTATTCAGGGAGACTCGAGAACACAGACTTCCACCCTGAGTTAGTGATGTTCTTGCTGGCTTACACTCCTGTGTGCACCTCTATATCTCATTACCAGAACGGGTTGGTTGCTCATCTAGTCACAAGTAGCCTGGCCTCGGGCCGGCTTGGGGGTAGAAGAACTCCCAGAACCCCATCAAGCAGGTATATGTGGGCCTGCAGGCCGCTCCAAGGACAGCCTGTTGGACCAAGCTCTCACAAGTCACAAGTCAAGCCTGGCCTCGGGCCGGCTTGGGGGTAGAAGAACTCCCAGAACCCCATCAAGCAGGGATCAGCAAGGAAAAATTCACTTCCCCACAGCCAATATATATATATATATTTTTTTAGCACAGTACTGTATAGCTTTAATTATATGCATTCAGGTGTATTATGTACATTATTGCCCATACAGGACAACCATTTGAAGAACTATTTGTACAATTATATAATTAATCTTGTCACTTGACTTGCTAGTGATTAAAGTGATTGTTTCATGAATTTTATCAATTACATATACAGTACCATTGCTTCAAAATTAAATTTGTTTAAATTTTCCTCAGGCCCGACAAGTACATAGAGACATCAGAGCATGGTTTGGTGGTGATGAATGTCAACGAGGCCGATGCCGGTCGTTATGATTGCAAAATGGGTGGAGATATTGTATGTTCATACAATATCACTGTAGATGCTCATCGCTGTTCAGCTCCAGGCCGCACCAATGATTTCCAGAAGGTAGGCCTTTGTTTTTGTCTTTGAGATTGGTTGACTTATTACAGTAAGTGCTGTATTACTTTTATACAGTATTTTGAATGCTGAATGTATTTGCATTTTGCTAATCATTAAGTATTACAGTTTTCCCATGTTAATTTTTCGTGCTTCAAGGAATGTTGTGTAATTCAATTTTGTCCAAGTTTGCCCCAATTGTTGAAATCAACTTTATTGAATTTCCCCATCTTATTGCATATGTATCTGGACAAATTCTAAGAATATATATTTACTTTTAACTTCAATAAGGTTGTATTTGAGATTGTGATGTCCCTGATTAGGTCCTCCTTATTAATGAAGATATTTTCCATATGGGGTTTTTCTCCTGCAAAGCTAATGAAATTGTCCCCAACACAATTGTTCATGCTGATACGTTCACAAGTAAGATGGAACCCATTTTTTTACATTTTTAACATGTGATTCCCCTATTGGTGAATGTTAAGAGGTACAGTATACAGTATTACAGTCTCTACCAATTACCCCTAGTGCTTTCTCTAGCATTGATATGTTCCAAGGTTGGTGTATAGCAGCCTCCGTGGCGCAGTGGTAAGACACTCGCCTGGCGTTTCGTGCGTACTTTGGCTTGGGTTCGAATCCTGGCCGGGGAGGATTGACCGGGCGTCAATCCTTAACTATAACCTCTGTTCACCCAGCAGTGAATGGGTACCTGGTTGTTAAACGATTCGGCGGGATCGTATTGCAGGGAAAATTAGGATTAAGGACCTGCTCGAAACACTAAGCGTGCTGGTGGCTTTACAGGAATGTATGTTCCAAGGGTGTTCTAGCGCAACATTGGAACATCTAAACACGAGAAAGCGTCAGGAGGGGAATGCATATCCCAGATATAGAACCCGTGAAATAGTGGGTACTGGTGTAACTGTACCTATGTAGTAATTTTGTTTGTATTTGTAAAGCAGAAAAGATTGTGAATGAACCAACTTTGTTTTTGGAACATTGTACATTATATTTTTAAAGATGGCCATAAATAAATATAAATTTTTTTGACCATTATGAACATTTTGGGGTTTCTTTCTCTGTACAATTTTAGCACATCAGCATTAGAATTGTTAACTGTTTGCCTATTATCTGCAGCAGTAGTTATTGGTGTCTTCTTTTACATATATACTACATTTGACCAGACCACACACTAGAAGGTGAAGGGACGACGACGTTTCGGTCCGTCCTGGACCATTCTCAAGTCGATTGGCACAATCGACTTGAGAATGGTCCAGGACGGACCGAAACGTCGTCGTCCCTTCACCTTCTAGTGTGTGGTCTGGTCAACTTACTTTAGCCACGTTATTGTGACTCATCGCCTGTATACTACATTTGGTGCCAATAAAGGGAAAACAATTTTGCAACATAGGCCATATTCCTGTATTAATGTGTACAATATTACAGGTGTACAGCGACTGGTGTTATGAGTTTGAGAAGTACAAACTGGCAATGAAGACTTGGGAGAGAAAACAAGCGGTATGTGTTAAAATTACGTACTGTTTTTTCTGTTGTAAATTTCATGCTACCATTATGTAAATAAATCACTGTAGCACAGTGGTCTACATTGTCAGATCACACCTGAGGGTCCCGGATTCAATTCGTGCAGTATGACAGAGATGGTTGTGTATATTTTTCTTTTAATGCCTCTCTTGACGTAGGAGTAAATGGGTACCCAGGAATTAGGCAGATTTTGTGGGTGGTATCCCGGGAAAGGTCAGTAGTTGACCTCTGGGGGACCTTGTTTAGCCTAAATACAGGCTTCCTACCCCCCAACAACGTGAAATTAATGTCTTGTCAGAATTCTTAGTGTTATATCTTTAAACTTTGTTTACATTGACAGGGAAGATATATATATACTGTATTGCTTTTTGTACTATGTAATGCCTTGCTATTGGCTCGTGCGTAAAGTTTAATGACTGATTAGTTCATGACAGATATAGTTGACGTTTTCCAATCAAAGACTACAAAATTAATACAATTTTCATTTTTGCAGCAATGTGCCAATAGGAACAACATCAGCCAACAGAACAGCCATCCCAATGATATATACGCCAGGAGTAACCCCTTTGTCTGATCACGTCCAGTACATGAAGACTTGTCTCATAAAGCTGTAGAAGTAGATGCGACAGGAACCTTCCTTCCTTATGATGGTCAAGCATATGCCTGTTGTAATTGGTTCAGCATCTGTAAATCATTGAAAATAATATGATGTGTAATTTTTGTTAGAGTAAACCAAGATATTTATTTTAATATTTAAAAGCAGTAATTATAGTTCAAAAAATTATGAAAGTGAATGTTTCAAACAAAAAAAATAATAATTTGATTTTTTTTTATAAGAAACAAATTTGATACCATAAAAGTTAATATCTTATTGTTTTAATAATTATATTGAGTGATGGTGCCACCAGAAGAAAGGTGCTAATAACAGTTGGTGCCAGATGAAAACAGGTCAAAACCAATACAAGATCTTGACAGGCAACTTGACCCAAATACTCCAATAACAATCAGGGTACCGTTAGCTATTGACATGTGTTAAGTTTCTTTTCCGCCACTCCTGATAAGACGTTATGACTGTACGAGGGAGTCCCCCCCTAGGCCTAGTTCTTGCTCCTGGACAATCGCCTGTGGGCATTATTGCTTTTTGCATTCTAAGAGCTTGAGTGAGCAGTGGATCTTAGAACTTCTGGATTTTAGTTCAGTGTGAAAGAATGGAGCCGTGAGGTATGGACTTCCAGACGTATCCTTACAGGAGGCCGCTCTCCCTTATTAATCGAGTGTGACAAGGACACATGGTTTAGTGATATAAACATAAATCCCCTCCCAGGCTGATGGAATGGTGCATTTTTATGGCAACAAAAATGAATAATAAATAAAGAAAGGTTCCTGGTAGGCTTTTAGAGTGATGCTGTTTGTGAAAGGTATTTATTTATTTTCATTGTGTGTGGGATGCAGAGAAAACGGTGAAGAGGAGCTCCAAGTATTCACTCGAGCAGCCTGTGGAAACCTGATCTTGATTTAGAATATTGTTGAAATCATTAATGCGAATAATTGCAGTAATAAAATCTAGCCTTCCTCAGGTTGAAAAGTCCCCAATTTTGTATCTTATTAAAGGCATTTGGCTGAATTTTAATCCTGATATTTTGTAAGCATTTTCTAAACTACCTCTGCCTTGTCATGATTGTTATCATTAAGAAAGTTAATGAAGGACTAAGAATAAAACTAATATCAGGAAATCTCCATCCACATACCGAGAATATTTTGTGGTTCCTTAAAGAATAAATAATAACTTAAATAAATAAATAAAATAAATAACTTTAATGGAAGTACAATTGCTGAAGGATGTGTTTTTATTAAAAATAAATGTTTCCATTAAATTCAATAATTATAGACATGTAAGAAGGTGAAAAAGAAAAGATGAAGGATTAACAGATGTTTTGGGATACTTAAGGGTGATGTGTGAACAAGACTTCTTTTATACAGCTCATTTTTAGACTCGTCTTGTAATATACACATACGTTGGAACATTCTCTTAAGGTGACCACTTTAGTCGAAACCAATCATATCCTTTCATAGACCCAAGTATATCCTTATAAAAGCCAGTCCCATAAATATTACAGAATCTGCTCCAGCTGTCTCAACTCGATAAGTGGCTAATAGATACATAAATAAATTGCACCCGTGTATCTTAGTTTTATGCAGCTCCCCTTTTGAGAAAGTTCCATTTCACATGCCGATCCACGCTAAGATTTTCGTTTTCTGTCCTGTGATACGCGCCAATTTTGTAAGACTCGTACATAATAATATTGCTCCATATAAGCAGGTTAGTAACACTTCAGTATAAGTAATGAAATGTAAATATGTGTGTGTCTGCTGTTTATTTCCTTAGGAAGTACCAGTTTATGGCCTGCTACACTTTGGGTCATCAACATGCTAGAATGACTTGTTTAAAAATTACTGTTTACATTCATCAATGCCCAGATAAACAGTGTTCATCTGATTAAATTACAAATTCAAAGGTATAGTATATTATGAGCTTCTATTTTACACACAACAATATACTGCATTTTGCGCCTCAAACTTTAAGGATAGAGATTCGGAAATCTGTAATTTTGTTTTTAATGCTACTTTCAGCCGGACAAACAATATTAATTAATAGAGAGCATGGCATTCTAGCATGGGATGGACTATTTCAATATGCTTGTTTTGGGTTGTGAGTGATGGGCTACAGACTGAACGTGTAACTGACGTGACATTCAAGATCTTTGAATGAATATGACTTAAAGGTATTTCTGTTTTGCTGCCATTGCAGTATGTACAGTACAGTATTTTTTATGTAATTTGAACCGTAAACAACAGTACATTTTATCTTTTAATTTCCAACGGAAAAGCTTTTAATACTTCTCTGCATTTGTAGGTTTGATTTAATTTTAAGTTATCTGTTAGATAATTCTCATGATATATTTTCACTTAATTTAGCTGTTCTATACAGCTGTAAAATTTGTTCAGAATATTGAACCGAAAAATGAGGCTTAAGATTTGCCTGTAGGCTATGATCTAGGAGTTTGTAATGTGAAAATATTCCTGTAAAATAAAATTTCTTTTTTAGACATGGATTTTTGTTACCTTAATGCAGTGTTGACATATAGATCGTATACATTACTTGTAATAAAGTGTGGGCTATGAAAGGTTTTGTGGTTTCCCATTTACAAGACTCTGCTACATATGTGGGACTTTTAGAGAAGCTAATGTTTGTAGGTTATACCTTCTAAAGCTCAAAAGGGCCACTTAGTTGATGAGTACAATCAAGGGAAACTATGAATTATATAAAAATTAATAATATAGTATTCAATATAGTTGTAAGAATATGACAGGAAAAGAAAAGTGCTAAAAATAAGCAATTGCCTGGGAAACATTGGCAACCCCTGACAGACTATGTACACAATCATTGTTTCTCTTCAGCCTCAACTGCTAGTTACACTTGTCTGCCACCATATGGAGACCCCCGGCAACTCGGCCTGCAGCCAGCTGCCCACCTCATTCACTTGTGTGGTGTGGCTGTGTAAGCTACTAGTGCTCTGCCTGTGTTTCCTGGCTTCAGTTCAGTTAAGTGTTGGCTATCGTTTTTGGACTCTGTCCAGTAGGAGTCTATGTGTTTCATTTTTATTTTTGCATTGGTTTTGTTGTCCAGGAGTCTTGTTCCGAGTAGTGTATGGGCTTTGGCTCCTTTACAGGGGCCCAGTGGTTAGGGTGGAATGGGGTTTATGGCAGTTTTGGTGTTGCACTGTGGGTTTGTTGACCAGACCACACACTAGAAGGTGAAGGGACGACGACATTTTGGTCCGTCCTGGACCATTCTCAAGTCGACTGTCTTGAGTCACAATCGACTTGAGAATGGTCCAGGGCGGACCAAAACGTCATCGTCCCTTCACCTTCTAGTGTGTGGTCTAGTCAACATACTTCAGCCACGTTATTGTGACTCATCGCCTGCACTGTGGGTTTGTCCAGGCTCTGCTTTGGGATATCAGTTTATACCTTCATTTGTTACATTTGTTCAGTTTAGGGGGAGGGCATGAATATGTGCATTTCATGGCACCTGGCCTCACAACCAGTCACCACAGGTCTTGTGTTGTCTGGGATTAACAAGGACCATTCCTTTGAGCCTGTTGCCATCAGGGAAAGAGCTGGCAAAGTGTTTTTTTCCTGCTGGAGATAGCACCTCTTTTTCTAGCAGTGTCTAAATGGCTTCCCAGTGGCCTTTTCCAAACAATTGTTGGTGATGTTAAATCCATGCAACACTAAGGGCAAGCAGTATTCCATGATTTGGGCCTTGCTGCCTCCTGTTCAAGATGAGGGTTTTGTGGATATTACGCTGTCTTGGTCTTTGGCTTCCTCCCACCATCAGTAGTGTTCTCATGCATGTAGGAGGTGGAGAGCCTTCATCCAAGTTCACCGAGCTGGCCTTGTTTGTAATTTGCCCCCTTTCTGTCGTCTTCTTGACTTGATCTCCCCAAAAAGTTACTAAAGCTGTATTCTCTTGTGCGGAAGCAGGAGAGATACATAATTATTTACATGTGGAAAACAGTAGAGGGGCTGGTCCCCAACCTGCTAACAGAAATAACACTACATGAGACCAGAAGGCATAGCAGGATGTGCAGAATACCCTCACTGAAAAGCAGAGGCACAATAGATACTCTGAGAGAAAACTCTATCAACATCAGAGGCCTGAGACTGTTCAACACACTTCCACTACACATAAGGGACATAACTGGCCGACCCCTCACAGTGTTCAAGAGAGAAGTTGATAAACACCTCCAAAGGATACCTGATCAACCAGGCTGCGATCAGCCGCATGCATCAGCCTGGTTGACCAGCCCAGCAACGAGGAGGCCTGGTTGAGGACCGGGCGGCAAGGACACTAAGCCCTGGAATCATCACAAGGTAACCCCCATAGCTTCTCTCTTTTTGGCATCACGATTTAAGGCTCGGCAGTCTCCTGTGTATTTTGTGGGTTGGTTGGACACTGGTGTGATTGGTTTGCCTTCCTTCCTGTGTGTTCAATCTTTTCTCATTCCCAGATTGGAACTTGTTGGGCCTTCGGTTGGTTCTTATCCTTTCGGGTGTGTGTGTGTGGTCCTTGCCCCTGCATTTCCTTTATGTGCCCTCTGCTACTGGATCTGTTTGGCAGGCAATTGCCTACTTGGTACAGTATCCCAGGTCCTTCTGGGGCAATTTTGGCCTAGTAGCAGGCATAGGCAGGCAGATTAATGCTCTGGCATTTTTCTGTTTTGTCACGGAAACAAGACTGTTATCAGTGTCTGACATTTCCCAGAAGCTAGAGCACTGAGTGAATGGCAATAGTGCTGTTCATGTGGCAGTAAGAGGCATCACTTTTTTAAAGTTTTGATTTTTATGTGAGTGACCGTAAGTGACTACCTTAACAATTAGTGATTTAAAATACATATAATAAAAAGAGGAATTTAACAGGCAGTCATTGTAGTGCAATGAATGAAGTTAAGTGTGGACTCCATGAACTACTAAGCATCAGAGATCAATGACTAAGAATCTCCATTCAATTAAGTACTGCAGCAACTTGTACATGTCAAATAAAGTTCAGTTTCTGTCGGTATCAAATATAGTTACAAGTACAGTATGCTAATCATACAACAGTAGGCATTTAGTCCATTAATCAATCATCCCTCTCCCTTTCACCCATATGTGGGGCTGTGGGCTGCTCTAAACAACAGCCTGTTGGACCGTGGTATCCCAAGTCAAGCCTGATCCTGGGACAGGCTTGGGAAGTAGAACTCCCAGAACCCCATCCAAGTACAAAAGAGGTATCCAGCATCCAGAGAAGGAACCCACCTTTTTGGCTGGAAGACCCAATGGTTTAACTTATAACTTAAGTAACACAATAAAGAAGCAATATGAATATACGTTATGTATTAATCTTAAAAGTTATTAATGACATGAAATTGGCAGGTAAGGTAAGTGGGTATGTCAAATATGGGATGTGTGATAGGATAGCCACTCACAGAGTGAAGTCAATTGAGTAATAGTTGTGCCAATGGAGCTACCATGGCGATTGTCAAAAAATCACAGCATACAACAATGAGGAAAATGACTGCAAATGCCTTTACCAATTTTATTGAATAAATTTCAATAGCCTTGGCAGTGGCTTAGTCAATGAAACCACTGCCATCAAGAATAGAGAGAGAGAGAGAAATGAGGAGAATAAAGGGGAAAGTTTTGATAAATTAATAAAGAAAGCATAGAAACGATCAAAATATTATACAAACAATTGGTTCACTAGAAACTAGCTCAAATCCCTTCTTGCTTCCCGCTGTTAGAGCTGACAGTAACCCCGAGGTACCGATACTGGTCAACCCATTCAAGAAGTTCCCCATTGATTTGCAGGTCTTCATTTTCTTTCTTGTGATGGGAGTATACTTTTCTTTAGTTTGAGGGAAGAATAGAGCCCGAATTCAGTACATTTTCTTTAAAGAAACTGAATGAACTACTTCGTCTTTACAAGTGTGGAGCTGTACTGTATGAAGACATTGTATGTATGTACTACTTGTACTCCTTCAAGAAACTCGATAGTAACGTTGATATTCATTAAGATGAATACAACACTGCAAATCAGGCATGACAGGGCAGATCTCATTGAAATTTTTAAAATACTGAACAATTTAGAGGATTTAGATCGAGTCTATTGCTTCAAAAGGTCAGATATAACAAAATGAACAACGGTTTCAAGCCTCAATGTAGGACTGAGAACAGGAAATGCGTTTTCACCCACAGGGTTATTAACCCCATGGAACCGCCTACCCGCCAAAACTGTTAGTTAAAGTACAGCTGGGAAAGATCAAGTCAAATAGGGGGACCTTCGACAATCCGCCGGAATCCTGTCCCTGTAGAGGCTACTAGTGCTAGTGGCTCTCATGTAAACTCAGGCATGTTATTGTGACTTGCTGAAACTATAAGATTGTCTGCCGGATAATTTCGTAATAAAAACCAAACGCATATATCTACACAAAATCCGCTCCTCATAAAAATTCCTGAAACTGTCTGCATACACATTATATAACATGAACGTACATAATTGTTGCGATAAAGATTAAGCCACCCAAAAGGTGGCACGGGCATGAATAGCCCGTATTTGCAACCATTATATATGGACGGCGTAATATCGATTTGAGCGACTCTGGTGGTCAGAAGCTTAACTGTGGTGTTATAGTTCAAGAGTTTGGCGTTATGGTGAAGGAAGGGAGAGTCGAGTGTCCGGGTGCATAAAATTAAAGCAAAGGGTCATTTGACGCCGAGGAGCCGAGAGGGAAGGATCGTTGACGGCCATCAATAACAACTACCAAGGAGTACATCGATTAATTGTGAGTACAAGAAATCGATGTGACAGCCATTATTGATTAGTAAATTGAAATAGAAGTCTTGTTCCCGCGTGAACTATATATTTGATATTTTTTGTATTGAGGCCAAAATTGCCATAGGTGTTGTTCAACTGGCAGTTATAGTTGGCACATGGTCATTTGGGGTCATTGTGGTGGCCTTTAAATACCCTTGTCTAAGGTCAGCCTTAAACCCCACACTAAATGATAAACATTTTGATTTATTTAAATAAGTGGGAAATGTATATAAAACGATAAAGTTGGGCAGCAGATTTAGTGTATTGGGGGGGGGGGCTTGACCAGTGTGTAGGTCACTTATACACTAATGTATAATTAGTTAAGAGGAAGTTAGTATATTGAGCATGATTCAGATTAAGAGAAGGCTCGTATGATAAATTTACCTACGGGCCACCATCTCCAGTGGCTTTGACGGGTGACAGAAAGCCAGTGACTTGTCAAAATGTCCCCCCCCCCTCTCCCTTTTCCCCTAATTTGTGAGGATTTTTTGTATCTGGATTATAAACTAAAATAATAATTAGGCATTTACAGCTTAAGTGGTTTTGGAGTTCCATGAATTTGTAATCTTATGGGTGAAAACCCATCTTTTCTGTCCTACGTTGTAGTTTAATGTGTACACCTGTATGTTGTACAGTGCGGTACATCATAGCCTAGTGAGTCGAAGGCAAATAGGCTACTGTTATTAATCTATTACACTCTTTTATCAGTATAGGCTGTTTTCTACTATTGATAGTCTGTAATTAATCTCCATTACAATTTCACCCTTTCCAGTGATTGGGTCCAATCTTTCGAACACAATTTTATTTTGCTACTCGATTGTAATTGAAATAAACTTTTTGTATTAAACGCCAATGAAAAAATGTTTTTTTTACTTTCAGGTGCGTGGCAAGTGCTGGAGCTGACGACTGAAGCTTACAGCTCAAGCTGTAAGGTAAAGAGATAAGTAAACAATTGTTCATGGGAAGAGAACTAGGCAGACAGGAGTAGACAACTTCAGACTCATGTTAGCAGGCTGAGAGCTTTCCCTTCCCAGTAGCTCATAGTAAGCCTTACTTTACTAGTTGTACACTGGAATACGACTCGTCAATCGGTTTATACCGATATCCCCAATTAATGCTGGGTGATCAGAGGCAAACATTACAGGATTGGCGGGCAGACAATCCTCATCTAGGGCTCATAAAAAATAGGTGGGGAAGACTTAGTGAGTTAGGAAGGGTGGTGGAGCTAATTGTAAAGGGCGGGTTACATCGTATATTGAGATATCAGAACCATCTTAAGATTAGGATGAAGCAAATGTAGACTGGCATATGCATTATGTATTATTAATGCATATGCCAAGGGGAGTGCGCTCCCCCCAAAGGCATAAACGTCTAGGTTGAGGTATAATCCACAAACCTATCATCTATTACCCCAAGTTCATGTGAACTTTTTTTTAGTTCACATGAAAGTGGAGTGATGTTGATTGGTTAGTGGATTAGGAAGAGGGAAAGCGGAGGGGCCTTTCCTAGGGGTTTGTGCCTTTGGAACTATTTGCATTCATTTTATTTTGAGATGAGTGGGAAAGATTAAGTGACGTAAGAGATGGGTTGAAGTAGACTTAATATAGAGAATGGGTAAAACATATTTCGAGCGAGAGATAGGAGAATCGTCTTAGATTAGGATGATGCAAATGTAGACTGGCATATGCATTATGTATTATTAATGCATATGCCAAGGGGAGTGCGCTCCCCCCAAAGGCATAAACGTCTAGGTTGAGGTATAATCCACAAACCTATCATCTATTACCCCAAGTTCATGTGAACTTTTTTTTAGTTCACATGAAAGTGGAGTGATGTTGATTGGTTAGTGGATTAGGAAGAGGGAAAGCGGAGGGGCCTTTCCTAGGGGTTTGTGCCTTTGGAACTATTTGCATTCATTTTATTTTGAGATGAGTGGGAAAGATTAAGTGACGTAAGAGATGGGTTGAAGTAGACTTAATATAGAGAATGGGTAAAACATATTTCGAGCGAGAGATAGGAGAATCGTCTTAGATTAGGATGATGCAAATGTAGACTGGCATATGCATTATGTATTATTAATGCATATGCCAAGGGGAGTGCGCTCCCCCCAAAGGCATAAACGTCTAGGTTTAGGTATAATCCACAAACCTATCATCTATTACCCCAAGTTCATGTGAACTTTTTTTTAGTTCACATGAAAGTGGAGTGATGTTGATTGGTTAGTGGATTAGGAAGAGGGAAAGCGGAGGGGCCTTTCCTAGGGGTTTGTGCCTTTGGAACTATTTGCATTTGATTTGTAGATATATTTTGGCCGAAATGACACACTAAAGTAGGATTTTTTTAGTGACGTAAATGAACAAATAGAGGAGCTCGATGTGATGAAAGCCATAGGGCCAGACATAATCAAACGTTTCATCCTAAAAGTGGAAGATGCAGGCTTTCTGAGGAGCCCTTGCTATAGATTTCAGCTCGTCATTGGAAAGGAGCTAATGAAGTACCTATATAGAAGAAAGGATGACGAGAGCCACAGAAGAACCGTCGGGTATCATTAGCAAGTAATCTCTAAGATATTAAGGATGTTGAAAGAAGGTTCGTCGAATGCATGTTCTGTTTTCAAGCACCAACGGAAAAGCCTGCGAGACCAATTTCGAGTTATATGACATAATGAGAAGAATCAAACAGGAGAGGAGGTTGCGCAGAATATATTTTCGTGGATTGCCAGAAAGCTTTTGACATTCCCTCACAAGCAACTTCTATACAGATTCGAGAAGCAAGCTGGTGTATTATGAAGAGACCTTAAGTGGTTGAAGGAGTACCTTTCAGAAAGACTGCAAAAAGTCATAGCTATGAGAATGGAGAGAGGTAATAAGTTGAGTCACCCAAGGATCGGTATAAGAACTCATCCTGTTGCTAATGTACGTAAAGGATATAAAGAGGAAGTAAACTCATTTTTTATCAATGTTTGTTGATACTAAAGTAATGAGAAATAAAGATTACAATACATTGTAAGATGAAGTAGACAAAGTCCAGAAATAGTTTGAGAAATGGCTACTAGATTTTAACCCTGACTAATGCAAATTATGAGGACAGGACTTTGAGCAAAAAGGCTTAAATACAGTAGAAGATGAAGGGAATGCAACTTCCCACTTGCGAAAAAAGGAGACTTAGGAGTGGATATAACTCAAGATGCTACACCAGAGAGGCTTATCATGCGACTAATGAAGGAAGCCTATGCCATACTGATAACGTCAGGTTATCCTTCAGGAACTTGGACAAAAATCTCTTCCAAGAGCACTATAGAGTATTCCCAGACCCATTCTTGAGTACACTGCCACAGAATAGATAATAAGTATCACTTATCCAGAGAAAACAGGCCACGAAAAATGTTAAAAAACATGTAACGGGGATCGTTCCTGAGCTAAGGAAACTGTACCTCACTATACTGCAGGAAAGAAGGAATATGACAGCGAGGTACATTATACTGAGGGGTTCGATAAAGTAGATATAGAAGCAATGTTTAGAACAAGGAACAGGAGATAATTTAAAAGCCAGACGTCAGAAAGACCTAGTTTCAGTCCAAGAGTTGTAAATGAGCGGAACGGTCTAGATGACGTTATCAACGTCAATGCTAAACACAGTTTTAAAAGTAAATGTAATTGCGAGTCAGTGCAATGAACTACTAATGCTCGACCCTGCAAGCACAACTGGACTTGCGTAGTCTATAAGGTCCTGGACAGTGATCCCAACACTGGTGTTCAGCCAACATGAGATATATGGAGCGATGATAAAAATGAAAGGGACATTACGGGGCTGAGAGCGAACAGGCAAGAGGCTACCCCAGATCATCCAACCCCTCATAGCCTATGTGTCAACAAGAGATGCATGGAATAGGCGTGGTAAAAGTAGAGAGATGGGCAAATAGTCCTAAAGAGCCATGATGAGTACACAGTGGTAAGATTCTAGTCGCAGAGAAAGAGATTGGATAAGTAGGAATCCGTCACGGGAGTGATGAGAAAGATGGTAAAACTAGAAGACAAAGCAGACGAACGCTTCATGAAGCAACAAGAGTAAGGGAAGATGACCCACCAGCAGTATTAGACCCAAGATGTGGCAGATATGAAAAAAATAGAGTACGAGATACTTCCTTGCAGCTAGCGACCTGTGCCATATCATGGTGGAGCTAAAAGTTTGATCAAGAAACGTTACATACATGGAGCTTACATGAAGTCTTGAACTAAAAGGTAGAAAGAAGAAATGAAATGTTTTCTCAGAAATGTGTAGATGTTCATCACACTGAAGAGGAAGGTGGAAGACAGAAGCACAGTAAACCTCGGACTCGTTAAGTGATCCAAGGAAGATCAGAAGTCCATAAAAACCGAGAACTATGAATAGAGGGGATCTTAGAGACCTAGAAATGAATATACTATGATGGAAGAAAATGGCACTGAAGTGAAAGCCATATTCAGAGCCACGTGGGACATCGTTTAAGAGACGTAAACGAGCGCTCTTTCAAGGCACATGAGTTAGAGGAACCTGACCTGACACACTTTGAAGAGGACAGATCACAAGATATAAAGTTCCATCCAGAACCTTAAGACTAGAGTAAAGAAAGAATTCGAACGTCAGAATGGTTATTAGGCTACAGGCAACTTAAGTTTGGACCTCGTAAATTATATATTTTAACTAGTTAAATGAGAAATAATACCTTTGAGAGGGCGGACTCTAAGCTGACAGGTTAGTGCAAAGGATAAATAGGCCCATATGTTGGCTTCAGTAAGGTTGTCCATCGCGTTAAAAATAAGTTAGGCAGTGCTAGAATCCTGGTTTGTAACCACATATAGCGATGTCGTTTGCTTGTTCCGTTTAATCAGAGTAGGTGTTCGTCGTATTTGTGTAACAGCCGCAGTTCCTGATGATTTTGATCTTATGAACACTAAATCATCATGTAGATTTGCAATCTGCGTTAAATTGTCTAAATCAGCCTCGTCTAGTTGTAAAAATCTCATTAAATCTGACAAAAATCGTTCAGATTGCTAGCTTTGTAAAAGTTTGAATACCGTGTGTCAGTAACTGCAGATTGTCTTCTTTACATATGGAATAATGCGCAAGTTGGTATCATTGCATTATTAGTTTGATCATAATAAATGCGAAAGTTTGTTGGTAACTTATGATTGCGTGTTCGGTTTATCGCCATTGAAAACAATCGTTTTATAAATCAGTCGAGTTCGTAAATGTTGTAATAATTGGCGTAGCTCGTTCAGTTTTAAAATATTAAAATGCTTGAATGTCAAAAAAAAAGTTGGGTTTACACAATTGTAGCAGTTTGATAAATTTGATTTACCTTACGCATCAGTGATGATAACTAAGCTTTCACTATAGTGCAATTAAATTGTCCATAGCATGAAAACAGTTATCAGCCTAAAGTTTCGTATGGGTTCAATGTCGTAATTTTCAATTTCAAAACATTTGGCTTATAAGGTTAGACAAGATTCGTTTGGAAATATAATGTTTTATTATATAATATCTAGTAATAACAATTGCCTTGGAGCAAAATGTGTATAGTTGCGTCACGATCTTCCTTTATCGTTCAGAAGTCTGTTGAAGTAGTGACAAAGGCGGAAGTTGCAGTCTAAGTTGACGTAGGAAGTCAGTTATCCGATGCCATGATGGTTGTGTTGCCATTGACACAGACGTGTCGCGTGCACTCAAGAAGTCTGCTCAGATCTTAAGCTTGCCGCCAAAGTTGTAGTTATTGGCCGTGTTGCTGCACGTTGCGTTAATTGCATAGAAGTTCAGTTTCATTGCCGTTGTCAGTGATGTCCATTATAGTCCAGTTGTGTTGTACGTCGCCACCTGCAAAGAAAGACGAATATTAGTTGAAACCTTTGATTCAAAACGGTGTTGTACCTTAAATAATTTGAGTAGTGAAAAACATGTAGTTAAATGTTTGAACTAATTCGTTTGCTTAGTGCAAAATAAGTCTTAAATGATCGTGATTAAGTTAATACAAACAAGCATATTGTGCCTAATATGGTTTCTGTTGACGGGTTGAAGTTAAGCTTAACATGACATTAATTTGAGAATGATGTAACGTTGATAATCTAAAAATCAATATTGTATTATGCATTACTGAAAATTACGGTCAAAGTTTGGTATCCACTTTCTTTAATTGTCTTAAGTCTCTGAATGTATCTTTAAACAAAAACCTAGCAATATTGTTTATCAAATGAACCTAACGATTTTTATATATTTATACCGATTCTATTAAAATTGCTGAAGTAGCACTGTTAAGGCTGTATTCAATATAGTACATTAACTCTCCCACCACCTGAAGTTAGTTATGATTATTACTGTAACTAATAACCTACCCTTTGTCCTAGAAATTATTCATGGTAACTTGTGTATTATATAAACAAGAAAGATTTTAATTTCTACTAGAAAACTATTTCCTGGTATAACGATTACTTTAATTCCATATTAGTCAATATTACATCGTATTTACGTTATCTAATGTAATTGAACCTTACCGATATCTACTCTTCATAGTTATTTGCTAGTTCTCAGTAAATCTGGTCCGCGAGCCGATTCTCTCAGTATTCATTGGAAGGGTTCAGTTATCTAGATTATGCTACCTCCCCCCCCCCTCTTAGGCCTATTTAATTATGGAAATTGGCAAATATTATTTCTCTATTTCCTGTGGTTTTAACCGCGCCTCCTATGCCAGTTTGACTAATTAAATCTATATTTCTGCTGCCTTGATTTCCTGCTTTTAACTTTGTATATGTTTACGTTAAGACATCTGGATAGAATTTTGAACTTTTTCCCTCGACTATAAGAGCTGAAAATTGCTTAAATATTCCTAAGCCAAATATATCCCGCATTTGCTGTATTACCCCTCTAGGTTTTTAAACTAATACTGAACCTTATTCGGCTTGTCAAGAGATAAAAATGAACAAGTAAAATTGGTAGTATGTTCATTACGTTAATATGTATATAACTATCTAGTATAGAGTGAATCATATATAATCTATCTATATACAAATGTTCTGAAGACAAGGTCTCTATGCTTGACTAAACTAATGCAAGTGGCAGCGCACCACAGACGTCTATACTCCATTAACTATCTAAGACAAGTGTGAGAACAACTACTTACCAACCCTTTGGGAGCCTTAAGAAGTGGTGTGGTGCTTGAACAGCGGCCAGGAGTAGTCTGGCTGTTTGGGGTCAGGCGCGCCAGCTTGTTGGGTTGGAGGGTACAGGGTTAACGACCCAATCCTGGGGGGGGGGGGGTGATTATACCCGATAGCCTCGTTATGGATTTGGCCTATGACTTGTGTATATACTGTAAGGATTATTATAACTGTTTTCTAGTACTCGTAAAGACTTTTAAAAGTGGCCATCTTCATTAGTTTAATGAATATATTAATAGTTGAGTATTGTAAGCTGAACATTTACATCTGCGGTAAGGCAGTTATGCATATACTTTAAGTTGCTAACTATGCTCCTCACACCAATTAAGTGCAGGGTGGTGGTTGACTATATTAATATAGTTATATGCATGCGCGCACCTAAGCAAATCTTGGACATTTAGTCAGGATTTCTGGTAGTACATAATTTTGAATGATATTCACATTTGTTACTGCTACCTATATATTTATTTCCGGCTTGGTGCCTTCTTTTAATGGTTATTTCGACAAACCTAGGATTCAAATGAATATAGCATGAGTATTTCCTATAGTTGCTCCATGCATTTGAAATATAATCATCTAAAGGAATTTCAATATTTGTTTACATTGATTAGAGAGACGCAAAATATGCGAATTAATAGGTATTGTATTATAATAGAGTTTACATTTGGTCAGGTTGACCGGCTCGCGTCCGAGGCGTGTTAATGGCCGGCCTCTTCTGAGTGGCTAACAAGGGGTCACTCCACCACTAACAATCCTCAACCAGCAGGAAAAGATTAAAAGAAAACGGGAAGTTGTCTGAGAAAACGCGAGCCATATTAAAGACATTGCAGTGCTTAATTAACAAATAACCGTGACTTTTATGTCTAATATTTGTTTGTTAAATAAAAAAAGTGACAAGAATCATAATTTTGTTGTTACAACAGTGTATATTTCATTAATATTGAATAATGGGCGTTCCTTTAATATAGTTAAACGGCAACTGACAGGTTTTGTAAAAGATCTTAATTGGACCGCTGTGATTTTATTTGACATTATCTTTGTATTTATCCGTACATTTTTTATTTAAATAAAATGATATAGAAAGTAGCAAAGCCCCTCTACTGTTTATCTTTCAGTTTGACGTCTTGAAGTCAGTGAAGAACGACCTGCCATATCCGGATTTGAGCACGGGTGCCAGTTCACCCTTTAGCACACGACACTGAATTTGTCGTGTACTGTAGCTTTGTGTATTAAATGTTAAAAGTCAATTGGGGGAAATTTTGTTACATATGCGCAAGTATTTTTGTAGCGAGGGGGGGAAAGGATTAGGGAAATAGGATGAGAATGTGTTCACGTTAGATGTGGCACCACAGCCTCTGTCCCCTCCCCCTCCCCCGGGTCTCGTCGTCTGCCGTCCACACGCCGCCAGAAGGTAAACACCGTCTCTGTCTCTCTCCCATTCTGTCTATTTCACTGCTGCACAGATGAACTGAATGTTTGCTTGTGTTTATAGTGACATAGAGGTAAGACAGGCGTTTCTAAGGGGGAAAATAGACCTAATTTTAGAAGAATTTCAAGACCTAAAGGGAAGGGGTGAGTTATGGGGCCCAGTCATGGGGGTAAAGTTTGTTTAATAGTTAACAAACTTATGTTTACACCATTTGTTTTATTCCAGGGACATTTCTTCCACGTCAAACCCTTTAAAGGCCATTGATAATGGTGAAGGGGATCCTCTATGGGGTATGGTCGAAACGTACAGGAAATGGTTTAACGAAACATCGTTTTGCAATTGTCAGACTCGTCTATTGTAGTATATATTACATATATATGTCATATATACTATATATATAATATATATATACTATATAAGTTAGGCTGGGTTGAGTTAAATTAATTTGGGGCGAGTTAGGTTAGAATATTCCGTCTTGTGTACGATGCGACTCGGATCCTCCTCAAATAAATCGTCACGTTGTGTACACAAGTCAATTCGCCAACGGATTGTCATATGTTCCAAATTTTGGAAATTGAAATTGATTTTCAATTTTATTGAACCCAGTGCAGTCATAATACATACAGGGTTACCAAACAGAAAACGAAAATCATTGAAGCGTCTTGTTTTTTTTCCGAAACGACCAAATCCATCATCAGGGCGGTGTTCGGATGTAAGTCATATTTTTTGGAAGATGATTTGCTAGTGGATGTTAAAACCTACTTAACATCCACTGGCAAATGTCTTGCGTATACTAAGTAAACTTAACTGGGAAACAAATGCATCCTAACCTAATAATACAGTATATGGGTTTAACACTTTGGAAAACTAGCATTGTCAAAACTGTATACAGGGTTTTCATAAAGAGGGGCTGTTTGTTATTGTATCAATTCATATAATTATCAAGGGAAATGTATAATTTACTTTTTTTTTTTTTTTTAACGATTTGACATTATCCCCCATACGTTGTCGTGGTCCCCTCTCCCTAAATAAACAATGGAACACCCTTAATCATGGTGTTGCTTGATGTATTTCGACATATGTTGTACGTACTGTATTTGCACATGAAGAGAGAGAGGTACTAAAGCATCGCATTTAATACCACAGCGGACTGTCTATATCCCTAAAGCAGGGGCTTGGAAGGTATTTTTAAGTTTTAATAGACTGGTTCTTGGCTGAATTATTTAATGTGCAGTGTCTTCCGGCCCCCAGTTGTACAACTAGTGATTGCTAGAACCTCAGCCACTGACACACTGTGCAAAGTTGCTTCATTCACACCAGTATTTTGATAGGTACATTATTAGTACAGTGTGTTTTCAGAGGTGTCAGTTGACAAGATTTTAATTTGATCCCCATGTACAATACACCACCTTGTATAGTACTCATTTTGTACAGCATAGATATCGACCAAACTGCAAATGACCTAAACTGTTGTCCTATTTTTTATATATACAGTACTGTATCTGTAAATAGTTTTAATCATTGAAATTCATTTATTCATTATTCGTTTCTATTTTATTTTGATAGGTGACAATAAATATTATCACATTCACAGGTAATTAAGAATGGCAGGAGTATACAGAACTCTGTGCGCTGTGCAGCGAGACAGCTGTGTGGCTCTACTGAGATTGCCGTCAGTTTTACCGTGTTCTACCAGAGCCAATTTTTGTACAAGAATCGTAAAGGTAAAGTATTGGCGTAAAATTTTTTAATTTATTATATAGTACTGCGGTTAACGGGTAATGAGTACTGTATAGTGTACACTCAAAATTGTATACTGTATTTTTTATGGATAAGTAACATATATGGGCAAACAAATGAGAAATATTAATGGAATACCTTGTTTTGTTTAGAATCGGCTACTCGGAACAAAATTTCAAAGCAGCACAGTTGATACTTTGAATACCCTATTAATATCCCCTTTGTTATGTCCAGTAATCCACTATCATGTCACCCCTAACTCTTCGCCTTTCCAATGAATGCAATTTAAGCTTTGTTAATCTTTCTTCATATGAAAGATTTCTAATTTGGGGAATTAACTTTGTCATCCTACGCAGGACACGTTCAACTGAATTTATATCCATTCTATAGTACGGTGACCAAAACTGAACTGCATAATCCAAATGGGGCCTAACCAGAGCAAGATATAGGTGAAGAACCACACCAGGTGTCTTGTTACTAACGCTTCGATTAATAAATCCCAGTGTCCTATTTGCTTTATTGCGAACATTCATGCATTGATCCTTTTGTTTTAAAATGATACTAATCATAACTCCCAGATCCCTTTCGCAATCAAATTCAACACCCTCTAGCTCGTATCTTGTAAGTCTATCATCATTACCTCACCTCAGCACTTTACATTTATCAGCATTAAACTGCATTTGCCAATCTTTTTGACCATTTCAAAGGGTCTTCAAAACCCTATTTAGATCAACTTGTAGTGATAGCGAGTCTTGTGTGTTAATTTCCCTACTGATTTTTGTATCATCGGCAAATTTGCATATGTTGCTTCTCAAACCTGAATCTAAATCATTTATATATATTATAAACAACAGAGGTCCCAAGACAGAGCCTTGAGGCACTCCACTTACAACATATTCCCACTCTGACTTAACCTCATTTATACTGTTTCCTTTGGTATAGCTATGCCCTAATCCAACTTAATATAGCACCCCAATACCATGAGCTTTTATCTTTTTAATGAGGCTTTCATGTGGCACTGTATCAAAAGCTTTGCTAACGTCAAGCTACACAACATCACAAATCTTACTACTATCAACTGTCTCAACTATGCTGGAATAAAAAGATAGCAAATTTGTAAAACCTGGTTGTGACTCGTTTATTAATGTATGTTTTTCAAAATGAAGACGAATGGTATTTGCAATTATCGATTCAAGTAACTTTCCCACAATAGACGTTAGTCTAATTGGTAGATAGTTTGATGCAAGTGATCTATCACCTTTCTTAAAAATTGGTACCACATTTGCAACCTTCTACGACTCTGGCACTCTGCGTGACTGTAATGATGTATTAAATATAGTATACAATGGCTCCGTGGCAAAGACTAGGGATTTGTTTGGTTTGAGTTTTACTATTTGTTTAATAATATTATCCCTGGTAACTGTTAGACTAGTCAACCTGTTCTTGTCCCCACCCACATAGACTTGCATGGCTGAAGGCATAGTTAAGTTCTTCTTTAGTAAGTACAAAATATTTATTAACAATACTACTCGTCTCTACGTCATTATTCGTTATCTGACCTGTCTCGGTTTTTAATGGACCTATCCTTTCCCTAACCTTTGTTCGATATAACTGAAAAAACCCTTTAGGAATTGCCATTGCTTGGCCTGCTATACGAACTTCATAGTTTCTTTTTGCTCTCTTTATCTCTCTTTTTTTTTTTTTTTTAACCAGTTGTGGGAATTCTTGCTCTAAACTGACTTCCCCATTCTTAATCCTTTTGTACCAAGCTCTCTTTCTACCTATAAGGTTTTTCAGATCGTATGTTATCCATTTTGGTTCATTTGTATTTGATCTTTTCAATTTGTAAGGTATACTACTTTTCTGTGCTTTGCTTAGACTATTTGTAAATAAGACATATTTTGAATCCAAATCGAAATCCCCCTTTACATCACACATCGCTGAGTTCATGTCTTGCTCCAAGACTTTCCAATCTATTTGACTCAAACAATTTCTTAGGATATTAAAATTAGCGTTTCATAAATCTGGAACTTTTAACAGAATTTTTCTGCTTTTCTATTCCATTGTATGCTAAATCTGATTTCTTTGTGATCACTGTTCCCTAGTACACTCCCAATTTCGATGTCATTAATCGGTGTTTCCCTGTTAGTTAACACAAAATCTAAAATATTATTTTCCCGCGTTGGTTCCTTAATGTGTTGCGTAAGAAAGCAATTGTCAATTAATTCTATAAAATCTTCTGCTTCGTTAATCCAGTTTATTCCACTAAAATTCAAGTCACCCATGACACAAATAATTTTAGACCTAGATTCTCTAGATATTTCATCCCATAGATGCTTTGCTTCCATTCTGTCTAAATTTGGTGGCCTATATATAACTACCTATTATAAGATTATTTGCTTAATTCTATCCAAATAGTTTGTGTGGGGCTCAGTTTTGATTCCCTCTTTGAGACTACATTTCAAATTGTCCCTAACATATATGGCTACTCCCCCTCCTTGTCTAATATATCTGTGTGAAATAGTTTAAATTCATTTGTCTGATAATCAGCTAATAGTTCTCTATTTTCTACATTCATCCCCGTTTCGGTAAGTCCAATAATATCAATTTTTTCTGTACATTCAGGAGCATTTAATTTGTTTCTTAGACTTCTACTGTTAGTGTATATTACACTAAGTGTATTGTTATTTTGAGGCCAATCTCTCTCTCCCCCAAACACATACTTTTATTACCGCCTTCCTCCATATTAATTTAATTCCCATACCACTATGTACTAACAGTTGAAACGCCTCCGAGTTTGCAACAGCAACAACCCCATCACGAGCCTACATTTCATTTCTTCCATAGAAGTGTTCGCAGTTATCTATGAAAGACATTGCATTTGATTTGCAATATCTTTCCAGCCGGCAATTACCAAATGCCCTCGACAACCATTCATTTTCAGCTCCCTTACTTGGAAAAATGCCACATATGATTGGGATTTCTCCCTTGCTCCTAATTCTATGGCTGTTTTATACCTCTGAACCAGTTCCTCACTCGTAACTCGACCAACATCATTTCCGCCTGCGCTAATACAAATAAAAGGAATGTTCCCATTGCAGCCATAATATCATTCATGTTGTTTATAATATCACCAATTCCAGCTCCCGGATAGCAAGCCCTTAACCTGTTCCCCCTATCTCTAGCACAAAACATGTGTAAATACCTCACCTGGTATTTACACAGGGATTGTGGTTGTGGGAATCTCCCACAACCAAAGTTTGCTTAGGTGCCTAGTTTACGTTCTGAGCACTTTGAGGGGCCTGCACTTCGTTGATTTCTCTTTCAAGTGAAGTGCAGGCTCTCGCAGCACTCGTGTTCCAACATGACAAAGGATTTTGAAGTCCTTAGGGCATCTGTAGGCGGCCTTGTCAAGGTCTTCTTAAGACCTCTGTCCTTTACGACTTTCCACAACAAGGTCTTTTTAATATTGTTCTCCTCCTCTGTTTCTTCTTGATGTTTCAGCTGTCGTACCTCCTGTAGGGAATCCATCTCTGCTCTCAGAGCTCCAACTAGGTTCATCAGTTCCTTGACCACACCTCCCATTATTGCAATGATAATATTTGTAAAATTGGAGCTCTAGCTAACACACCCTCTCACTGTGACTGCCTCACTGTCTTCAGAGTTGTGGTTTGGTTGTCAAATACAATCACTGCAATTGAATTGAAGTGTGTTTTATTATACTTTATGGGTTCCTGGACTATACAGTATCTAACATTCTTGCTATAATATGTTATACATAATGGATCTTTATAATAGAAATGTACCATTTTGTAACAGAAACCACTACATGGATGGGAGGATGCACAAAGGTTGGTTTTGATACGAAAGTTTGGCACCAAAGAAAAGGAGACACCGATTTCCAACACCGAGACAGAGTACGTGACATGTTTTCATATTTAGTATAATAAGTATAAAGTAGTAATATATAAAATTTATGCATTGGTATGGATATAAGGAAGTGATTAGTAAATATAACAGTCTTAAGACAGGTCGCCAGCCGGTGGTCCGAGAGAATTTTATTTGTATTTTCTTTAACTGTTAAATATAATGGCATGAAATAGTTTAACTTTAATAACTATTAATATTGTTTAGTGGAGCAAAAGGATTTGTCTTAGTGGTCAGCAGCATTTAAAATTATGAATTTGGCGATCCGTAAACTCGTAAAGGTTGGCGACCGCTGGTCTAAGAGGATTATACCTCGACACAATTTCCATCCAGGAAAATCGGTTACGCATGTATGTAAAAGTTATATTGCTGTCCAGTTGCAGCATGGCTTTTAAATGACTTCATTTTCACCAGAGTTGATATTGGACCTGGCACTTGGAAGGAAATTTACCACGGGATCCTTTCAACTCAAATCAGGATGGTGAAAACATTCTCACTCTCCACATCTCTGATGGGTCTCATGGTCCAGCCAGTCCTCATGCAGGTTAGTGGTCTTGTGTTACACCAAGTTAAATACAAGTTATATCAACCTGGATACAAGAATTAAGACTTGACGTAATGTAACATATAAATATAGTAGTAAGGTGTTAAATGTTAGAAAAATAGAATAATTTGATTGGCTTAACTAGATTACAGTAGGTAAGTGGGGAAAAGATGACAGACAATGGTTAAACATACTGTGTACTAGGATCTTATAATTATGAACTGTAGTGAAATCGAGATTCAGAAACATTGGCCTATTCTGAAATGGCATTCAGGAGCTTGGTGCTACAATGACTGTATCATAAAGACATTCACGAACTTAGCATGCTTCTGAATATGATGCTCTCATAGAGGTGAGGGAAGTTTGAGGAGCCAAAAGCAAGTAAAATCACCGGGAAAGTATGAGTAAAGGGAAACTGTGTACGGTATCTTGTTTAGAGAAGACAGAGATAGAAGTGGTAGTTTGTCCATTGTCAACAAACTATGGTACTGAAGTGCACCACAAGTAGATGGTAAGCTCTTCACTTGCATGTGCAACTACATTTGTTTTGATGAGGTAAATATCACGAAAAAGTGGCAAGCCAGCACAAGTATACAGTATAGGACTTTAAGAGATTTTTACCTGAGGGCAACGAGAAGGACAGGAAGCCGGTGGCTTGTCCTGTCAGCTGATATGATAGGTTAGGATCAAGTGAAGGAAGAATGGCCAACCTTATGTATGGATTGATTGATGCTGGAGGTGGTTAATTTATTGTGCACCCCATAATCATCCTGTGAGTGGTGGTGCCAAAGAGGATTACAGAGGGCACAAAAAGTCATTATACCAGGTTGAGTATATTATGATGATGATCATCAGGCACATAGCAATTACTGTACTACTAGTTGTAGGTTTAGTACACGTTGTGAATGAAGATGGAACGTATAGGAAGGTAGTGAATACAGTTTGTTTTTAATGTCACCTGAGGAGTACTTGATAAAGTTAGTGGTTTACATGGGCTGTTAGGCATTGGATGTTGTTGCTTAAGAAGTAGAAGTGGTGGATTATACAGCTATTGAAGAAGTTACCAAATATGTACTGTATAGCTTTTTGTTAATGTTTCACCTAGACCATAGAAGGGGGGGCCTGGTGGATAGCGCGCAGGACTCGTAATTCTGTGGCGCGGGTTCGAGTCCCGCACGAGGCAGAAACAAATGGGCAAAGTTTCTTTCACCCTGAATGCCCCTGTTACCTAGCAGTAAAATAGTTACCTGGGTGTTAGTCAGCTGTCACAGGCTGCTTCCTGGGGGTGGAGGCCTGGTCGAGGACCGGGCCGCGGGGACACTAAAGCCCCGAAATTATCTCAAGATAACCTCAAGACCACTGACAGCAAATGGTTAGCGTATGTCGTGACATTGTTTAGAAATACCATGTTCAAATTGCTGAATCAAGATTATTTGGACATTGGGAAATAGTGCGGGTACAGATGAGAGTTTGAAAATAAAGTATAGTACCAGTTATGTTATGGTAGATCTGAGCATTATTAGTTGCATAAAATATCCCCACCCCTAAACTTGCTGTTTCTGATCTTTGAAAATATTGTATTAGTAATAGGTATTGTGAATGGTAGTGGGAGGTGGTAAAAGTAGCATTTAATATTTATTATGAGGAGGGATGTTTGATTATACAGTACTGTATATTGTTTTGGTTTTATTGTTAATTATGAGTAGCATAAGTTATCTTCAAGTATTAGTGAATAAAGTTGGTGTATATTTCAGAAAGTGGTAGGAACTCATATGGGCGTGATTCTTGCTGTTGGTTCCTTTGTTGGGTTCTTCACCTTCATCACGCCGTTGCTCATTCACTGGATCACAAAGAAGTATGTGACGTCTTTGGAATACGATCCGAAGAGAGATATCTACTCGGCAACTACTCTCTCCTTTTTCTTGAGGGAGAAAAAGGTAAAACATGCATAAAAAGCGACAACAGTATGAATGAAATTGTTTATATGATTGATGCCTTGCTTACTCTAGGAAGTTTCCTTTACAATCTTAGACATAAGGGGAATGAGAGAGCACTAAAGGCTTTTGAAAGAATCTGAAATGTTTGAATATTATTGTTAGGGTATTATACAAGTTAAGGAATGCCTTGACGAAAATACACAGTGAGGGTGATGGGGCTGTTGTACGGGGAGGCAGGTGGCACGGCACGCATGAGCCATTGTCTGTGGTTATTGATAAATTTTGTGCAGCCTTAACCCTTTCATTGGTTAAATCATATATGTTTTAGAGTATTGTGTAAAAATTGAAAGGCCCATGGGAGTTCTCGGGTCTCTAATAAACAAATGGCATTTTTTTTTTTAAATGTGGGCTCTGTGAGTGTGAAAGCTTGAGTAACTAAGGGCAAAACATGCAGCACGAGCTAACAGCACTGCTGTTTTGCCTGTGACCACAACATTGCATAAACATGACATAATATATACATTACTGGTATTATTTTGCAATGATAGTATCACAGTCAGGATGTTCTATGTACAGACATTAGTGAACACAAAGTTGTAAAGAGTGTGCGGCAGGTGACCAGAGCACCATGGCATATGTAATCATCTTGAAACAACAGCTCATGTTCCGTTACAAAAACTTGTGGCAATGATGATGATAGCATTTTGGCAAGTAAGGTGGCGTTGTCAGCTGATTAGCACGTGGTGGTACAATGATGTTTGGACTCGCCAGATGAGCTTAGTGATTCATTATGGTGCACAATAACATAAGAAACAGTACTATATGTTTTATTGTTCAAAGAATATAATATTTATCTGAACGTGTGTGTACCAATAATCTAGAGTTTGTGATGCAAATAATAATAACAGGCCAATACAACATATCATTTGAAATATCGATGATAAAAAGATTTGCCATAAAATACGAAAACTAAATTATATATTGAATGCATGGTGCTGTTAGAATTAAGTGAATTGTGATAACCAGTTATAAGAATATTAGACTCAACAGAAATGCATAGTAATCTGTAAATGTAGTGTGAAAACAGTTTTAATAATATCATAATTGTATCACAAATATGCACACCAAATTTGAGCCAAACAATGGTTGAAATAGTATCCAATACATTTATATATTCAACTATGTGTAATACATGTGGCAGCTCCCTCCACACGGCAAGTACTCTGTCAATGCCTGTATCTTGAGACTTAGTTGGCCCATCTATGTCGAATACAGATTATGTGATCAGGGAATTAATTTAAGCAATATTAGTTTGAAGAAAGAGTCTGAAAATATTGTGGGTTGTCAGTTTATTAACTGGGGCAGAGTTAAATTACATAAGTTTATGGAAACAAATAAAAAAATATATAATATACAGTGTGTGTGTGTGAAAAAGTATGTATTTGAGGGCATTTGATTACATTGAACGCTCAAGTTGTGACTGTACAATATTTCAAACCTTGAAGGGGCCAGGCTGAAAATGAGTTGTAGTAGGACTAAAATTAACATCTTTCTGTTAGTTTGGGTATTTATATTTAAGTGATACCATTGTATGTGAGTAGGAGATATTTTGAACAGTTTCGTTGATGTTAAGTACGGTAGTTGTTATTATTTATACATGTTGTACATCTATTTCAACAGATTCACTTTCACGCTGATGATGTTAAGGTGCCGGATGTTCCTGGGATGTTTACAACATTTCTCGTTAAAAACAAACCATTGTTTGTAGATCCCAAAATGTTTGAAAATGTTGAACATTATGGACGTTTAATGGGCTACGATAAGCCAATTGATTTCCATCTTGGAGATCCAAATAAGAAAGAATAAAAGTTGAGTAATAATGCATTGTATATTTTTTATAGTTTTATAATAGCAAAAAAAAAGCAAAATTAGTTCAATAACAGTTTTGAAAATATTCAAATTGCAGGAGATTGACTTAGAAAGTGTAAGTTGATATTGTAATGGACAAAGATGTCGCTTCATATTTCTCAGTTGAAGCCGCTTGGGTTTGAGTTATGTACATGAATGGAGAGAGCACAATCTGTTGACAAGTGTTGGGTGAAATGGCACTTGTGGAGGCTTGATGTGCTAGTGCAGTACAAAAAAAAGAGGGTGATAAATATATGTACATATTTAGTTGTTTACCTATTTGTATTGTTATTATTTAAGAAAAGGGTCTTGGACTGAATTGTATTATTTAAGGGTCTTGGACTGAATTGTTTAATAAATAAATCGGGAATTGTTTGGTAAATATATTAGATATACTATTGTTTTTCTTGTCATTGACATAATTTGAGTCTGTTACCCACCAAAGTTCCTGGAATAGCATGTTTAATGATGTTTGTCCTTGAGTAGTGTTTCAGCATTGTTGTTTCTGAGTTTTAAGTGATATTCATTGCTGTATATAATGTATAAAATTAAAATGGAATTTCTACAAGTTATGAATTAATCCTTGAATAGTATTAAGGGAGTTTAGCCAAAAGATTGGCAGACAGATAAAGGTTAATTTAGTTAAAATGTAATGGACCCATTTAGCAAATAGTGAAATAGGCAGCAGTTGTAGGATGCTGACGTTGATAAGGCTAATGGTCCTCCTAGCCCCAGCAGTTTGCTTTGAAAGTTTCACGATTGTAATCAATGAAAGAATAGTAATTTTCAATGAACTGGAGAAAAGTGCAAAATAGAAATCCAGAATATGATATATATATCCATGTAACGTTTAGTGGCAGAAGTCCAAATGTGGATAAGGTATATATAATGGAGGAAGTTGGATGGTCGATGATTTGAAAAATGCACATGTATCATTATATCGGAGTAATTCAGTAAGGTTTTGGCATGGTGAGTGTCAAGATAGCCATAAATAAAAAAAATTTGGTTGGTTTAGTATAGTGCAATAAATATTGAATTATTGTACATTGTAGTTGTGTGTGTTAAACCGGTGTAAGGAGCACACACAGTACTGTATGAATTGAAATTTGTTCAAATATGGAAAAAATAATGTGGTTAGACACATTTTGGAGAAACGTCAAGAATGTTAAATCAGTGTACTTGTGCAGAATGGGCATGTAATATTTTCCAGGTCGAGACAGGATTCACCCTAAAGGTCTGTGACAGTTACAACATTTTGCTTAAAAATCATTCATGTAATGTAAAATGTATAAATTTAGCATTGTTCATATTGTTAATCTGTTAGATATTGAGGTGTCAAGTACATGAATTGGTTAACTTTTGACTATTTGTAGCAAGAGGAAAGGTGACTACATAGTGAGAATTATGAAGAGGATAAGTTATCTTTAAGTAATACTGAATAAAGTCCTTTATATTTCAGAAAGTGGCAGGAACTGATATGGGTGGTAATCAAGAAATTGAAGGTATAAAGTAAGGAGGCTGACAAGAAGGTCAGCATAGGAAGAAATCTAAACACTGAAGCTTGATTTTGAATGGGTACAGTGTAAGCTGCAGGAGGCAAATGAAGGTGAGGTGTTGGCTGTGTTTATCTGCGAAGGGTTGTAGTGGTATCACTTGGAATGCAGTTGTTGGTATCTTCAAATATAATATTGTAACATAAGGCAGGATTTTAGTTAAAGTATCCATTCTGTTTTAAAATTGAAATAGGAAGTACAAAGAAATTGGCACCTTGCTGGTGTGAGGTATATTTTATGTTCATTGTGCAGTTCATGTAATATAAAGATAACTTGGGATGGTTTAGGAGTAGTCTGGCATTAACAAATGGCAGATTCATTGTGGTAGTTGCTCTTGAAAGTTTTGAATTACTCTTTGTTGATGGGCACAGATGGCAGGACTGTTAATACAATACAGAAATGAAACATTGTTGTTACTCCTTTACTGACCGACTATGAAGCCCATAAAAGGTTTCATACATACTACTGTACAGTATCTGAAAAGCAATGACAAATTTCAGGCAAATAGGAAGAAATTTTTCTATTTATTGATGGTGATTAGGGCATGAATATTAGCAGAGTATACACTTGACTTTGAGAAAGGTCTATAGATTGTTGTTGGAATGTAGGAAAGAGTTTTGTGTATATGTATACATATACCAGATTAAACGTTAGGTAAATATTTCAAATACAGGTCCCCTTTGTATGAATGGGCATTATAGATGCAAAGTCTCTCCCAAGTCGCTGTTTTTGTGTGTGTACTGGATACCTGTATGTATATAGGAATGACCCACAATGTAACGTATTCTGCCCCAGTCAGTAGTACTGTGAATGGTGTCAATGGCATAGTAGTTTGGTTGTTATCCCTAATGTTTGCCAGAAAGGCGATAAGAGTACATCATGTTGAATCAGTAGTTCATTTGACTGGTGTTGGTAATAAATACAAATGGGGGATTGCAAATAGAGCACAGAATGTATATTAATGACTTTCATGATATAATTAGACCTCGTAAAAAAACCCAGCAAAGTCCATCATTCAATATTGATAATATGGAGTTGTTGTCCGTTCTGCTTATGCGTATGGAAATATCAATTAACATTAGAAGAAATGTAGTGTACTTAGACTTGTTTAGAAGGGGGGGTTGCCGTCTGACAAATGAAGATCTTTTCCTAGTAGTTGAAAAGTTAATGAAATGTATTTGTACTCGTGAATGTTGCAGAGATATTAATGCAATAAATGAGAGGTTGGTAGAATGTTTTTCCCAAAACTCCAGGGGGGGTAGGTGGAAATGTGAATGTTTGGTAATATGTTTATATGTATGTATTAACACGATGTACTGAACGGGGTGAGAATAGCTTGAGGTACCTCAATAAACTTATTTCAATTCCACGGGGGGAGGTAGCTTGTAAGGTCCAAATTCCTATGAAGCTGTTTACTGTTAGATAAACAAATGGAACTTGAGGTGTGGAAGTGAACCCCAGGACCTTCCAGTCTTTGATATGATGCATTTATATTGGGGGTCAAATAAATAATAGAAAATATTGTGTGTTTGAGGCCGTGCATGGAAGCATAGTGTATAAATCAAAACACGTGGATATACTATATATATTTATTATGCTAGTATATAATATTTACAAAGTTGCAATCAGTTTTGAGCAATAATTGGAACAAATATGTACAATATATTGTAAGTGGCAAACATCATTCAATAAAAAACTGTCAGAAATGCTGAAAACGAAAATATTGGTATGTACATGTCAACACACTTGAAAGGCATTGGCGCAAAAAAAAAAACAGAATTTGAATATACATGTAGAAGAAGGGCTTAGTATATGAATCGTTTGGGGGAGGGGGGGAAATAACTGTAAGTGCCATGAATGCAGAATGTAGTTTTAATTAGCAAGGCCACCCCCCCTTACAATTGTTCAATATGTTTTTTTTTCTTTTATCAGACGCAAAGAAAAGTGGATGAGAGCCATTGATGTCATAGTGCAGCTGCTGTTGGGACTTTCTAATTAACATGGATTAAATATGTGCATAGAGCAACACATGGACATTCCACAAAAAATGTTTAGGAATTTGTGTGTGAGGAAGAGATAGCTTGCTATTCAATCGGTAGAGAAGGAAACGGTATTGTGGTAAATTGCAGACTTACATATACAGTATTTTTTGTTTTGCAAGCCATTACAAGACAAATAAGAGGTTTTCAACATGGTTGAGACTTAAACTAGGATACGCAGTAGTTGTATAATCTGAAACATGCATAATGAGGGCATTTGAAAAAGTCAAAATTGTTAAATGTACAACATTATATTTCTTTAAATTTGATGTATTGTTTTTAATGTGTATAACTTAAGTGTAATTTAAAGAATAATGATAGTGTCACTCGTAGGAAACAAATAAATGTATTGTGTAGGGGGTATCAGGTATATACATGTCAAGACATAACCTGAATAAGGAGGAGAAAATGTGTAGGAAACAGCATAGACTGACCTGGAGCAAGGTCAAAGAAAAAACTTGGTGATGGTAGATTATATGCACCAAATGTTAGTTGATGAGTATTGATGGCATGGTGCAAATAATATATATATCTTGGTTTCTGCACCATGAAAAATTGATCCAATATACTGTACGAGGAAATAAAAAAGAACATGATGTAGGTTCGATCATCTTGTATATACACAAATAGAGGAATGGGAACAAAAGGTTATATATGTACGAAATAGTTGTTAATACTGTACAAGAAATGTTTAAAATGAATCTTGTTCGAAGCTGTTGTTGATGGCTCTGTGAATAGATATGCCTGGTTCCATGGTGGAGTCTATAAACTCTTCGGCTATCTCCCGGTCCAGTCCTGTGTATGTTTTGTCAATTTGTTCATCTGTTAACTCGTTGTTCTTCTTAGAATGTTTCTTGTCCTTTTTAGCATTTTTGTCTTTGCGTTTCTTGGCATCCTTCTTCTTGTGTTCCTAGAAATAGTGATTGTATCAATACAAGTACTGGATGTAGGTTTTCCCCTTAATGCGTATGTATAATTTATTAACAAATGTTGCATACAATTGTTTAGAGATTTATATAAATTAGAATAAATGATTTAAAATATCCAATGAAGTAGGAAAAAGGATAATACATTTATGCATAGCGATAAAGAGTAATCACCTTAGCTAGAGGGTAGAGCGGCATCATGGGAGTGATCAAGTGAGGGTAGTAGAGCGATGGGTGAGGTGTGTAGTGGTGGGTTACGGGCTTGGGAATGTGATGTTGGTAGTGGTGACACGGATGAAGGGGGTGTGGATAAAGTAGTTGTTGATGGCGTGTGGATGCGTGAAGATTTGAACTTTGAGGGCGTGAGTGGGAGGCATACGTAACGGGAAGAGCAGGTGGAGGTGGCTTGAGAATGGAAGGGATAGTAGTGTTATTGGCACAAGCCTTTACAGAGGATGAAAGGTGAGATGGAGTTGCATTGCCTGTCTGGTTGTGGATATGATATAATGTAGAGGGTTTCCTAGGTGTGGCCGAGGACGATGAGTCTGAAGAGGAGAGGGGCACAAACTGGGAGATTGAAGAGACTTGATGAGGAGGACTGGATGATGAGCCCTGTAAAGTAGAACACGTGTTAGACATTTTTCATATTATACTTTAAATTGACGCAGACACTATTGATATGAATGTAAGGAAATACAGTAGTTTAATTGACAGAGACAAATATGCAACTAAGATGAGATTGATGTCTTCTCGTGGGAAGCCAATAGGACTATATAAGAGTTTCAGGGGATGTGGAAATGTAGTTGAGTAATGGTCTTGTAAATAAAAGTTAGATGGGTGTGAAGTGATGCAGCAAGTACTCAGCCAAGGTGTTTTCACAGGTATAGGATGGAGGAGGAGAAGTCCCCGAGAGGGAATATATAACGAGACACAACTAGAGGAGAAGCATATGCTAGAATTGGATGTGACACAGGCTATAGGTTTAAATGGAATGTGAGCGTGGATACAACTGGTAAGAGGTGAAGGTAGTCCCACAGGGATTATTGCTTTGACGTGTGTACATAATGTTCTCAAGTGAGACTAGACTCGTACCTGTGAATGTATTGTCCCGATGCAAAGATTATGAGGAGTAATAAGACAGTGTAAGTCTACAAGATGACCTAGACAAAGAGAAGGCATGGTGATAAGAGATAAAATCCTTTTTTTATATAGGGGGGGGGGGGGGGGGGCAGGGCTTAGTGGGCAGCTGCCAGATTGTGATGCTCCTGCCTTTTCCTTGTGTCTCATTTTTCTCCGATCGACTTTTTGAGGAGGCATACTGTGGGACCCTTTCGTCACTTAACCCACCCCAGGAAGATCGGGGATAGCTTCTTGTTGGGTCTGGAGGCACAATCGTGAATGAAAGTTTTCCCTTGTACTTTCTCAGGCTCATGGGGTGGACGACCAGGCCCTGACAACCTGAGTACTCCCGTCTATCCTTTGCGGTAGGGTCGAGTCCCCTGGCATGGCTTCATCTCTCACCCCCTTCAGGATCCCTTCCTGTAATACTACTAACAACGCCTTGATACGTGGGCAAAGTACTTTGATCTCGTGATGATTCAGTAGATGCCTCTGTTACTGTACGCATGTCATCACTGCTCCGTCTCAGGATGCAGCTACTCGCGCATTGGAGAGACCCCTGTTCGAGGTCTCCAAAAACGGTCGGTTAAATGCCAGTGTAGGCACTGTTCTCACTGGTGTTCGGGACCTGAGATATTGTCATGAGGATATTAAAAATATCCTCGAAGCCCAAGGCCATTGTGTCTACCAGGTGGACACGTTTACTCGACCCTCTATTGTTCTTGCTGGTGCCAGATGCTCCGTTCAGGAGTACATTCCCTCTCCTAGACTTTGCAATAAGTGTTGGAAGTTCGGGCATGGTGTCCTCAAATACACCAGTATTGTGTATCTCTGCCCCATGTGTAGAGACGATAGTGTAAGTCCGAGTGCACTTTTCCCCAGGCTCGCTGCCTCAATTGCGGTGAGGCCCACCCTACTTTCTCACACTCGTGTGTACACTACAAACTTGAAAAAGTCGTTACCGTTTGTCTTTTCCTGAAGCGAGATGCCAAGTTCATCGTCTCACCCCTTTTGCGGGCATATCCTAGGGTTGCGTTCTACCTCTCCTCAGTCTCACAACCGTTTCCAGGCCTTAAACCCGATGGTCCCCCACCTGTCTGATATCCATCATCCTCCATGTTGAGACCATCACTGGAACGGCTGGCTGGCTGTCTGTTTGAGTGAGAAACGTAAGGAAGGCTTCACTCTCTTCCTCACCCTTTGAGTGTGTCAGTACATCTCCTCCCATTTCAGTGGTCAAACCCCCTGTCCCAGATATGGAGGTTTCTTTCGCCCCCGATTCCCACTCCCTTTACGAAGTTTACCCATGGGCGCTAACCCTGAGATTCTTTAATAAACTGTCTTCTTCTCTATTCTTCAGTGGAATATTAATGGATTTTATGCCCACTTGTAATTACACAGTTTTCACCACTTTGTGTTTGTCCTTTCTTTCTCTTCCCTTCGTGATCTTAAGCACCTCGTGGGTGAATTGAACCGTTTGTCCTCCCTTTACTTAGAAGGTTGTTGATGACCTCCCATAACAGTGATCATTTCTCCGACACTGGTCTTCCCTGGTGGAATGCAGACGCCCATAGGAAATCTTATGTTTCCACCATTACTCCTCTGGCGTAAATCTGGAAGAAGATCCGAAAGATTGTGACCGAAGTGGGTTCTCATGTTCCTAAGTTTGTTTTCCTATAGATTTCCACGTTCATTATGAGATGCTTCGCTATCTCAGTAATTAGGTCTGGGAGTCGGAAACCAGGGTATGTTCCCGAAGGACTTTTGCGGTTCTTGGAACAGCATTGCCACCTCTCTCCTCCTCAATTTGGTTTTCGCAAGTGCCCAGACCTCCATTGTTTCTGTCCCAATCTCCCTCATGTTGACGATGCACCACAACTTTTACTCGTAAGCGGGTTATTCTTAGTTGCCCCGCCCCATACGTCTTGGGGAGCAGATTCCGCATTCCTGTCAGTTTTTGTTCAACTCCTACACTGGCTTTCACTTTAACCCACGTTCGATGGTGTTGGCTACTGTTGTTTTTCCTGACCACAATTATATATGTGTTACCGTCCTCCAGACGTTTATGCTCGTGGTCAAGATTCAACATTGCCTGTTTCTTGAATTTACTGGAGATAAGTCAGGTGCGGATGTTATTCATGCTGGCCACACAACTGTAACTCATGGCTCCTTATGCATTTCTGTTCTCGTATTGGCCTCTATTGATAATTACTTACGTATAGGGGAGTCGATATCATTACATTGACTAACATCAGAAACCTGTGCAAGGAATGTCGAATACCACAAGATGAAGCTGGATCATTTCTGTACTCAAGCTCTTCCAGGTCCTTAGAAATAATGTAGTAGGTAATCAGAATTGAGAAATGTTATAGATATTTTTCTCTTGCAGTGTGAGAGCTTAGTAAGTATATTAAAGGTCTGATTAAATTACTAATCAAACAAGATTAATAGACAGCAATGGAAAAATAGGTACTTTTTCGTATTGAATGATGTAAAAGTTTGACAGCGTTTCAAATCAGTTCCATAAAGGAACCCTATTTATTTCTGGTGTGGTGATAACAGGTCCTATTACATCTGTCCAGGAAGAGATTATGTGAACCCAACTATCTGTTTTACTCTCCAAAATCAGTTGGAATAGGCCAAGAAACATTCCATCTGTTGAACTAAAAGTGCACTTA